ACAGGCTGTTGGGATCATAAATGTCAGTCTGTCAAGAGACTGTGATGGATTCTAAAAAAACTGATTGAGTGCCTCAAAAGCTGTCATAGAGCCTGAGATTAAACAGATTCATCTTCCTTTCTTACAAGTGAGAGAAGGTGTGGGTGAAGCAAAGGAAGAAAGCTTCCTCCTCTTTGTTGCCACTTTGCTTCTCTCTCTCTCTCCTACTCTGAGTTTGAGTGTTGGCTTGTGCAGAGGGCTAAGAGCCTGCCTGAGATGTCAGAAGGCTGCAGTCATGGTTAGCAGCCCCGGGTGTACAGCAGCCCCGCTGCCAGCTGTACAGCGACGGGAGATCAAGAGAGATTGGGACTCAAGTCTGACAGGCCTGACACAATTTATTTGGAAATTTTCAGGTGAGAACATGAGTAATAAAGATAAGAACAGTGACAGTAAGGAACAAATGTGAATTTCTGTCAGAGACAAAACAGAATTTTAAAAGAAGTAGCTGTTTGTTGTCTCCAGTCAAGCTTTCCAGTTAAATTATGTTCCTAAATTGGGGAAGTCTTACCACTACTTTCTGCAATGGGCTAGTAAAATAAAATTAGAATAATTGTTCTTTTCAGTAGACTGTTTTTTAAATCACTGTGCTTATTTCTCTGTCACAAATTAAGCAGTAGTTACCTTCAAACCTAGGAAGCTGAAGGGTAAAATAAAATACTTTTCCTTAAGATTTTCCTTTCTCAGTTAATCACATGATTCTTCATCAGACTTCACTTTAACTAGATCTAATGTGCTTCTCATTCTATTAAACATAGGGAGAGGAAGAGGGGATCTGGTAAATACCAAGAACTGTGAACCTGGCATGGGAGTGTAGCAGCCCTTAAGTGGGGATGTACAGATTAGGTTAGGTTCTCAAGGAAAAGCAGACTGGGAAACATGTGCTTTATGGGCCCTTTATGAAGGACCTTGATTAGAAGTCACTCTTACCTCCTGGGGTGGGAACAGTTTCTACCTTGCCACTACAGCTCCTTCTGCTGCTAATGAATATGCCTCTTGCAAGGACTCGTTTCTTCTGACAGTTAAAGCTGCGTGTGAGAGTTATTTCTGTTCACCTTTCTCCACATTTAACCCTTAATGCCCAAGTTCAGATCATGCCAGTAGACTGTTAGGTGCTTTCCGTCATTGTTGAGGTAGTTAAAAATGCTTCAGGGTAGAAGGAATGATATTTGTGAGCAAAAACATGAATAATCAAAGTTACTCACATGTGGACAGTAGATGAGGGTTCCTTTAGTGTTCACTCTGTTTGGATCTTTTCTTTCTGGTAGTCCTTTTTTATTTGACATAAGATTATAATTGAATAGTTGAATTATTTAGTTCATTATTATGTAATTAAAATCCCTGCCCTGGACATCTGTTTCTCTTAGGCAACTCACCCCATGGCCAAAGTTTCATTAAGTAATTAGCAGAGGAGATGTAAATTTCTCATGCAGACATGATGATGATCCTGTAGACTGCTATTTATTTCATTAGCTTCTAATTAAAATGCTAAGTTGACTTGTGAGAAAATGCCAAAGAACGGTTTGCTTTGCCAAGAAGTTATATATGTAACAGTCACCTTCCTGGATGGCAGCGTGTGGGGAGCAGTAAACAGTTTAGGGATCTTATTTCCCCTCTGTTTTTGTGGTGGGGGGCATTAGTGGGCTCAAGGCTCCCTTTCCATCTATTAGGCCATTGACTGAGTGAAGATTAATATTCACAAGCATAAAAATTATGGATATTTTAATATTGGGAACAGTTCCTTGATTCTAAAAAAAAAATAACATTCTGGTAAACATTTCATCTGTGTTAGTTTAGGATCATTAAGGACATCTTCTCATGGCTGAAACTTTCTGTACATTGGATGCCTTTGGTCTTGGACTTGTGCAGATGCCAAGACATTGACTCTCAGAGGACTGACCAGGTCTGAATGGTGTTCTTTTAGGATGGCCAGTGCAGCCCAGCCAGAAGCTGTTGGCAACATCAGGTGCTTCCCTTAGGACCCCTTATTTTATGAATGTCCTGTGCTACCTGTCTACCAGGACAAATAACTCAGTAGTCTTTATATGTAATGTGGAGTAGATTAAGGAAAATTTCAGCATGAGACCATGTGGACTTATTCCTTAGTTTCATTATTGAATGCTCATTGGTCAGACAAGGTGAGGAATTAGAAGAAAAGTGATCACATCTGGACAGGCCTTCTGACTTTTGGGGGCCCCATCAAGTGGGTTGTTTGGTGATGGCCAGTGGTGATTATAATTATATAAATGTGAATTCTGTTCCCAATCTTAGGCATTAGAAACTATTTTCTTTGCATATTACTCCCTTGCTTATTTGAAAATAGCTATGGATAGGCACTGAAGAAAAAAGTCTTCTCATCATAGCAAAGGTTTGCTGTAGAAATGAAGGTGAGTGCTGTGCGGGTAGGCAGCAGGTTTGACAGTTTGGGACAGAAACATGGGAAACGGCTTTGAATGTGAAGTCTGCATTTCTGGATATATGCATGGTTGTACCATATAGTGGGGTGAATAAAAAAAAAGGCTTAGGGTTTGAGTAGTTCTTTTTTATGTTAGAGGTATGCTCATCATTTCAAGGAGCTTTGGATTTTAACAATAATGCAAAGGTTTCAACTGCCTCCTCTTGTGCAGAGCCTTTTCTCTTTCTCTTCCTCCACCCCACACCCCAGGGTTGGGGGATAAGTTCTTATAAGGATGCTCCAGATTTAGGACCTTGTCCCAGCACAAACTTCATTTTTTTTGTTAGGGCTTTTACTCTAGAATTTTCTCTTCTTGTTACATTCCCCTCCACCTCCAACAACAAAAAAAGGTCTAAATAGTGCCATTACTGGTTTGTGAAAAAGCCCTCCCTCCGCCCCCTGCCCAGAGAGCAGTGTGGCTCATAGGAGGTGAATTCCTTTTGGCTGGCTGCGTTGTAATGATTTACATTTAGGGGACCCGGTGTGTCTGTGGCTGCCTCAGTCATCACACTGACTCAGTTTGTACAGCTTCGCTCAGCAGAGCTGGGAAATAGGCTAAACTTGCTTTCAGTTGTTTTCATCAAAGACCTGTTTAGTTGGCTTGTATTGGGGGGAAAATGTCATGTAGGACTGGAAGAACTAAATGAGATGAAAAATGAAGTTTACAATTGCTAAGAATAGTGTGTACCTTCCATAAGTCAGTGCACAATGCAGTGGCCTGGGAGACTGGGAGCAAAATGTTAGCATTGTCACTTCTCAGGGCCAGTGAGTGCTCTCAGTTAAGAAGTGTGGTATCGTCTTTACATAGGAGGAAGCTAGGGAAAGGGATACAGACAGCCTTCACTGAAACACATCCAACAGTCTGCTGCTTCTTACTAGAGCCACTTTAAATAGAAAATCAAAACTGCCTAGGAGAGGATTCATTCATTCAAGAAATATTTATTGAGTTCTAGGCATGGAGGGCCCATTAGTGAACAAATCAGGTGCAACTTTCGCCTTCCAGGAGTTCACATTCTCCTAGGGAACAATATTAAAAGATAATGCTATGGAGGGATAAAAGGCAGGAAAAAGGAGGAGAGAAAGTGTGAGGGAAGGGGGACAAGAGTAGTCTAGATAAAGGTGATTAGGGAAAAAGACTTCATTGAAGAAGTGACTTAAAAGACTTAAAAGAGGTGAGATTCCATGTAGATCTGGGTGAAGAGTGTTTCAAACAAATGAAGCAGAAGGTGCAAAGGCTCTGAGGTAGGAGACAATAGGTAGGTGAGTGTGGATGGAGCAAAAGGAGAGTAGCAGAAAATGAGGTGTGAGGAGGGCATATCATGTAGGGCCTTTTGAAGATCATATTAAGTATCTGAACTTTTACTCTGAGAAGGGGAGCTATTAGAGGGTTTTAAGCAGGCAGGCAAAGTGGTTCTAAACTTGATTTTTAGCAGGACAACTTGGCTGTTGTGCAGTGAACAGAATAGGGGCAAAGGAGGTGGGTGAGCAAAGAGAACCAGTTAAGAAGATATTTACTAGGCTGGATGAGACAATGATGGCTTGGATCAGCATGGTTGTGGTAGAGGGGTGAGAATGGGGGGATCTGGATCTATTTGGAAGAAAATTATTTAGGAGACTCCCAGAGGTGGTTTAGCACAAACCGCTTTGGAACCTTGGCAGGAAGTGACACTTACAGGAGTAGAGAGTCCCCAAGTGCTGTCCCTTTTTTGAAGGCAAGAGATATTTACAGCCTGCATATAATACAAACTTTATTGCATTTCAGTTAGTTTTTTAAGGTTATACAAAACACAAGTTGTCACACACTACACTTCCCTCCACCTGCCAATTTGATGCCAACCCTCAGATTGTTGTGCCAAGTGTACCACACTACAATGGAGGCTTTAGGACAGCGTGCTTGTGAACAAGCAGGGATATTCCTTCATGCTGAATAAAGTTGGAGTAATTTTCAGTATTAGAACCTGATTCTTGTGTGCTTAATCAAGTTTAGGAGTAGAAGAGGTTATTGAATCACCCATCAAACACTGGCTTTAGCTATGGATTGTGCTAAACAGTGGTAAAAGAAATACTGGACATAATCCCTTCTTTAAAGAATTAAATTCTCCTTGAGGACTAGCAAATTTTCACAAAGAGGTAAATGATCAGTATAAGCAATAAACAGCTAGAGCCCAAAGAAAGGGTGCAAAGAGAGGATCCCATTCCAGCTTGAATGGTCTTCTCATAGAGACAGCTGTTATTAAAGCAATAACATAGAACTGATTTTGTTGAACCAACTGCCCCCCACCCCTTTTCTAGCTCAGACCTAGCTTGTTCGAAATCAACTGTGAAGGTACCTGCTTGTTATAATTCTGTAGTATAAACTAGGCCAGTCAGAACTGGCTCTTGCTCACACAGGTCCAGTGTCTGGAAAAGGGCAGGAGCCTGGTCAGAAGAATGCCTGGCAGTACATTAATCAGCTGTGCTTGCCAGGCCAGGCACTAACCCTGACCCCCAAATGTGTTGTTTTGGTCAGATTCACAGTCTGAGAATGAGGCTTCACCAGTGAAGCGGCCCCGACTACTGGAGAATACTGAGCGATCCGAAGAAACCAGCCGATCTAAACAGAAGAGTCGACGTCGGTGCTTCCAGTGCCAAACCAAACTGGAGCTGGTGCAGCAGGAATTGGGATCATGCCGCTGCGGTAAGCATCTCCCCCAATGGCGTGATGGAGGCTGTGTCCTTGACACCCTGGCAGAGCTCTGGAAATTATTCCTAAGAGGCTGCTGTCCTCATGCTTCTCCTGAGTTGCTCCCTGTGAAGTACAGGTTTGGAGCTTGAGAAATCAGGAATAGACGATTCTTACTTCTAAACACCTTTATTAATCCTCTCCCACACAGAAAAAAGGCAAACCATCCCCAGCTGTGCGCTTACACATACTTTTTGTGGGCTTGCTTTGTCACCCCACTGCGTATTGCTCTGCTTCTCACTGATGACTTGGTTAAAAATTAACCAAACCAGCAAAAATTCTGAAGTATGTACCATAAAATTCAGATATTATATTAATTTTGCATGAGCATTTTACTATATAATAAGTGGAAGATTTTGCCCCCCATATCCCTTTTAAGTTAAAGTTTGATTAGAAAACTGTTTTCTTTGGACCATAATTCACTGTCATTTAACCCCTTGAAATAGCTTAAAAATAATCTTTCTTTCTTGTATTATCCAGTATAATATCAGCTCTAAAACTGCTGCACAGGGATGTATTCTTAAAAAGTTGTTATGCCTACACAAAGCAGAACAAAACTTAGACCAATCCTTCCTCTCCCTTTGACCACATATATCATGTCACACAGAAGCAAAATTGTGTAGCTGCATTATTTAGGCTGACTTATGGTTTTCCTGTCCCTGTTTTTATTTCCTAATTTAAAGCATAGTGTTATAAAATTGTTTTGTGGGACAGAGCTTTTATCAGGCAGATTTTGAGGCCTGGTTCTAACCCAGAGAATCCTATATCCTTTGTCCTTTAGGAATGAGCTTTACCTCCTTGCATCTTTGGGTTAGCCATAGATATCCTGCAAGTACTGATGCTGGCTGTCAGGACCAGATGGTTTTCTCAGCAGTTAAAGTTATAGTTACTCAAAGTCCTTTATCTTCTGAAGAGTTAGCATTGCTGCTCCTGCCCTCCATTATCTGTTATTGGAAATGAGAAGGAAAGGAGGGCATACCAGCTTTGCATGGAAGCTAAGTTGGAACTCCTGTTTCTGTCATGACCAGAAATCTGTTTGTTGCACACTCTGGTTTGTGATACTCAATGAGATCAGAGGCAAATATTCAGTTGCAGAAACAGGGACCAGCATGGGGAGTACAGGTGTTGCCACACGAGTTTTCATTTTTTAGCTTGGCGTTTAGTTATCTTATTAAGTGCTGTGTGAAAGTGTAAAGAAAAAGGTAGGATAAGAGGTAGGAGTAGAGACTTTTGGCAGAGTTTTTTTAAACGAGTTGTATTCATGCGTGTGAGCCCAGGTGAGCCTAGAACCTTATTCTTAGGTTGCATCTTGATCCATCCTGCCAGGTAATTTTATATTCTGGTGACATAGGGAGGAACACTGGGATTAGTCAAGGAAACTCGGGGGCATGATGGCTAACCAACTTTGCCCATATTGAAGGGTTTGTCTGATCTTCTGTGGCCTGCAAGTTCTTGTTTTTTTGTATTTCTGTGAACTATTGGGGGGGTTTCGGCAGTTGAGTCTGCTACCAGTGTTTAGAAGCCTATCTGATTGTTTTGCCTTTTGCTTTTATAACACAGGCCTTTGGTTGTTCCTAAATTAGAATCATGGGATTTTCCTTTACCTTCTGTTCTCATTTCCTTCTTGAAAGTAACCAAAGTCTGGTGTTATACAGGATTTGCCCTCATGGGTCAAACAGTTGGTCTGCCAAGTGTGCTGTCTTGCGTCCAGTAGTGAGTAATACTGCCTGTCCTTGTCAGAATTCACAGTTTAGCTCAGAGAGATCCAGGGGTGTTGTACCCAAGTCTCCCAATGTACCCTTCAGCTTTGATGCAAACAACCCAACTTGCTGAGGTGTAGCAGCCAGCCGAAGGAATCTATACATGCATGCTAGGTGACTTCACATGCTCCTAAGTGAAGCCATCTTGACTGCTCCTGATAAATTCAGATACTCCTCTGTACTCTTCACCTCTTGGGCAGGAGGCTGGATTTCTAAGTGCCTATTGGGTTTGCCATAGATGTGCATTCTTTTCAAATGACCTAACATGTAGTCCATTGGCTTGTGCCAATTCTGAGTGTCAGCTTATAGAGAAATTGGTTTTTCTGCTGGGAGAAGAACCCTCAGCTTCTGCAGTCCCTCTAGATACAGCATCCTAGAAAGAGCTGAAAGTTCATTTTGGCCCACTGAGTGTGTTACCGTTAAGTGCCTAGAAAAATGACTGAGTGTCTTGCCACACTTTCAAATGAAGGACAGCAGTGGGAGCATACGCCTCCAAGACTGTCTTTGACAAACAGCTCTTGTGTTTCCCCTGCCTGTCTGCTTGACTCTCTCTAGGAAAGGGTGAGTGGTACGGTTATTTCCTTGATGATGCATTGAGTGTTCAAGAGACCTTTAATTGCCCTGAAAGGTTTTGGAGCGGGGAAACACAATAATTTACTACTGACAGTGAAGACTCAGGAAGGTAGTTTGAACTCAAAACACTGTTCCACTAAAGAAAATCTTTCTTATGTGTGTGTGTGTGTGTGTGTGTGTGTGTGTTCACAATCATTTTTTTTCCCCCTTCTACTCTGTACAGGTTATTAACTACTGACAAATTCACATCTCATAAATAATGCTTAAGAGCCATTGCTATATAAATTGAATGTGTTATGAATTGTGATGGGCCTTTTTGTAGCATTCAACGCCTAGAGCAGGAAGAACAGAGGATGTCATTTTCATTAATTTCTAATGAGGTGCCAATTAAAGACAGGGAAGACACTCCAAAGGGAAGAGTGGCCAAGCTCCCCTGAATCTTCTGCCCCGGGGCTGTCATCCAAACACTGCCAGCAAGCCTTCTCTAAAGATTCCATTAAGTTACGATCTCATCCAGAGCACACACAGACACATTCAGCTTCCCTTTGATCTTCAAAAGAGCAATTTGTAAGGCAAGTTCTGAGCCTTCTCACATAGGGAACAGCTAGAGGTGATAGGAATTGTTAATTGCCAAAACGCTCCAAGGGCTTTCCTTAAGGAGGTGAATTTTGAAGATGAGTTCTCCTCTGCCTTGCTGTGACTAGATAACCTTTAAATCAACTATACCAAAGTAACACCCTTTTTCTGTGAAATCTTTCAGGGTGCCAATTAGAAAACGCATATGGTGAGGCTGGGATAATATCCCATATCCTAGAGTAGCTTCAACAGTTGATAGAAAACAATTGCATGAAATGGATTTATTTGTTTCATTTTCTACTCAGTAGGTAAATTGATCAGCTCATTCTCATTAAAGGATTCTTGTCTCTCCAAATGCCACCTGGAGGATGTTCTGAAATCTGACCATTCTCATCAAATCTGGGCCAGTCACTGCCATGTGATGCTGTGTTCTCTAAGCACACCAGCATGGCTTTTAAATTGCTGTGCATTGTAACCTAGAACCACAGAATTAATTTTTAATACCAGTCTAAGAGTTTGCAAAAGTTATTGCATATTTTCAGTTGACAGTAACTTAACAAACTGTAAGCTGATATGCTCCCTTTTGGAACAGCAGTGCTTTTCCTAACCTCCTGAGTAATCTGATATCCCTTATTGCTTTAAAAATAAATTTTATATTCACAGGAACTCAGAGTGATGCTTTAGCTGGGACCTTTAGTTTATCATCTCCTAGTGCCTCAGTGATCATTTCTGCCTTATCATTAATTGTCAAACTAAATTCAGCAAGCATTTATTGAGATATGACTATGCACAGATCATTTTGCTAGGTTTTCTGAGGAATATAGGAGCTAGAAATATAGAACATAGGAGCTCATAATCTAGGTCAGTAGTTTCAAACTTGAGTGGACATCAGAATCACAAGGAGGGTGTAGGCCCCTCCCCTTAAGGGTTTAATTCATTAGGGCCTGTAGGTATTTAACAAGTTCCTGGATGCTGCTGCTGGTTATGTGAGGATCATGCTTTGAAAATCATTTCTCTAGGCAGTTCTCAGTCCTGGGAAACTAAAAAAATAGAATGTCTGAGTCTTACTCTAAACAATTCTAAATTAGATAAGGCCCCCAGGGTATTGTTTTTAACTTTTCTTTTTTGGAAATTAAAGGTTTTTTTCCTGGACCATTTGAGAGTAAGTTGCCAACATTAGAACCCTTTATTCCTATAAACCTCAGTGAATGATTTCTAAGACTAGGAATATTATTCTGTGTAACCACAGCATAGTTACTAACTTCAGTAAGTTGATACTGATGCAATACTTTTATCAGATCTGTCATCCATATTCCAGTTTTGTCAGTTGATCCAAAACTGTCCTATACAAAAGCATTTTGTTCCCTCAGTACAGAACCCAGTCTGTGTTCAAGAATTGCATTTAGTTGGCATATCTCTTTAGATTCTTTTCACCTGGAAGGTTTTCATGGCCTTTGTTTTTAATGATACTGACATTTTTGCAGACTGCATCACCCTCACCACCACCACCCTTTTCTTTTTTAATACAACATGCCTTGTTTTGGGGTTGTCTGGTATTTCTTGTTGATTAGATTCAGATTGTATATTCCCAACCAGAATACTACATAAGTGATGTTGTGTCCTTCTCATGGTTTTATATTAGGAGGCAGAGATGTCCTTCAGCCCCTCATTTTTTATGTTAATTTGACTCACTGACTCAGTCAAGGTGTTGTCCAATTCCATTATACAGTTACTGTTTTTGCCTTGGTAACTTGTAAGCAATCTATGGGAAAACTCTTTATGACCATGTAAATGTCTTGGTCCTCTTAAAAGTGTTTCTTAGATTTAGCATCCGTTGATGATTCTTGCCTAAACCAGTCTTTACTATGATGATTGCAATATGATGATTTTCCCAACTCCAGTCCTTCTCCTACATTATCATTTGGTATTCAGCATTCTTTTTTCTTTTTAATTTTATTTTGGTATCATTAATCTACAATTACATGAAGGACGTTATGTTTACTAGGCTCCCCCCTTCACCAAGTCCCCCACACATCCCCGTTCACA